TTAATTAATTTTTCAAATAATAATAATTATTTTTAATAAAAAATAAATGATTTTTGTAAATATAATAAAAAATCAAATTTAAATTGAATCATTTAAAACGAAAAATGTAATACATGTAATATTTAATTTTGGATATGTATATGAAGAAAGTATTTATGTCTATATATGGCTATATATATATATATGTATATGAAGGAAGTGAGAGAAATCATTTATATATATATATATATGTATCATGTGTATTCAAGATAGTTAATATTTAGGGGAGTAAAAAATTAAAAGAAAAAAAGGTAGTCATGATAGTCTCTTACCAATCCCAAATATTTTCCTTCCTAATTGTAACCTAAATCCTGATAGTCTCTCCGATAAATCTAACCTCCGTCGATTCTCCGACGTCTCGCCAGATATATCAACTGTGTCTTCATCGATTCAACTCCATCTTCGTTTTTACTTAGTGAAATCTGAGTTGGTATTCGGTTTTGTTAGGTATATTTTAAACATCAATCCACAAGAGGCATGCAATTGGTGGGAAACAAAAGTAATGGAGGAAAAACTTAAAATGAGTTTTACTTTTTATATTTTTCTATAGTTCAAAATCTGGTTCTAAATCGTGAAAAACCTTTACCTTTACGTGGTAACTCATTTTAAATTGAAAAACCTTTACGTGGGTTGTGAAATTACAAGCGAAACGAAAAAAAGTTACGTTAAAAAATTAAATTTATAATTTTTCAAGGATGGTTTTATAATTGTTTACTTTTTTTTTATATTTCGCTTCAGATCTGTAGCGTATAATTAAGATATTTATCAAAGAGTTTTAAAAGTAGAATCGAAATTATAAAAATTTATACATGAATTCAATAGAACAAACTACCAAAAATATACAGTCAAATTAACAAAAGTAGACTCATACTCAATTAAAAAATAAAGATATAATATATATAAATATATTCATAAAAAAATAAAAATACAAAATAAAAATACATATATACATACATATATATATATATAAATAAATATATATACATATATGCATATTTGTATATATATATAAATATCTATTTATTTTATATTTTTATATTTCTATTTGTTTATGAATAGATTTATATATAATATTTATATTTTCTAATTGAGATTATAGAGAAAAAGAAAGTTGACATATGTTTTTTAAATTCTAAAATAAATTTATTTATATATAAAAATTTATATGTAAATTTAACTTTTTTTAAAAAATGAAAGATAACTATAATATTTAATAATATGATTTTTATTATTATCTTATAACTAAATTAAATTTTATAAAGATTAAAAAAACAAATTAATAATAAAATATTCATAATATATCATTAATATCGATCTTATAACCATTTACATAATATCATTCATATTTTCTCATTTCTTTATTTCCTTAAATACATATTTTACAGAAATTTAATTTTATGATAATATTTATTCTAAATCAAACAAATAATATATTTTTTTTACTAAATCTATATAAATTATATATATATAATGTATGTGTATATATATTAGTTGATTTTCTCTGTCGTAGAGTAAAAAATTGAAAAAAATCTATAATTTTTGTTGAGTGAAAAGATGAAAATTTATTTATATTTTATTAAATTGTTATAATTTGTAATTCCAATTGTGTTTTCGAATTGTATTATTTTCATCATGTATCAAATATATTGTTTTTTCAATTGAGCCTCTCTCATTTTATTTTTTAAACTTATTTTATAAACACAATTTAAGAATATAAAAGACACTGCATTCCACACTATACATAATGTCAAATAATTCTAAAAAATAACAACACATATAATATGAAATTAACAACAACAAATATGTCTAATAATATCTTTTTCTCCACTGTAATAATATTTATATTCTTTCATTTATTCACTTCTTATATATATACATATAATGATCCAATACTATAATTTAACTTTACTTAATATATAATAATTTTTGTATAAATTGATATCAATAAATTTTAATAACAAATAGACGAATAAACCGCGCATCGCGCGGGTCTCTCCTAGTTATTATAATAATATATGATTTCTATATTCCTGTCAAGTTTAGAAGGATTAGACTCCACATTTTTGGATGATAGAATTTTTTTTATATATTCTGTTATATATTGTTTAATGAATATATATATATAGTAAAGAATAAGGGGTTTCTTCATTTTCTTCCCTCATATGATATTTCATTTTTAAATTTTCAATGACTAAATCATTAGAAATATGATAAGTGTTTTCAGACAATTTTCTATGAATTTCGACAATAAAAAATTAAAATGCGAAAATTCCTGACTGATGATGAGATTCGATGCTAGAGCCGGTCCAAGAATTTATGTCAGTTTTTTTTTGGTAAATAAGAATTTATGTCAGTTAATAAAGGAAAATAAACATAACCCAATTCGAAAGTTCATATTTTATTTTTTGTCAAACGATAATCACAGTATTTGAAGTCGGCAATTAATTTGAAATGAATGGATTTGAAATGTAATGAAAAATATTACTAACAAATTTGTAGCATATTATGAATTTAAATAAATGCTAGCTTTATACAAACGGTTGGTTCGGAATGTTTGTTTAATTATAATAATGTGCGCGTATAAATTATAACTATGCAAGAAATATTACACATATATATATGTATATAAATAAAAGCCGGTTATTGGAGCTTTGATTGGATTGCATTGTCGGGTTATCGGTTAGGTTTGTGTTTGGTGTAGTAATTTATATAATAAATTGCCACACGTTCATTATATATATTCCATACGAAAATTCCCTTGGAATCTGTAACAAAAGCAAAATCAAACATAAATAGAAGACATTTCAATGAATTCTTTCCAATTTTTGAAGACTAAAGAACAGTTATGGTGAGGCATCCTAATTTATATATTAATGATTAAAGTTCATAGCCTTTTTTTCTTACAAAAAAAAACTTTTCCCACCATTCATTATGTAAATGAATGCCACATGACATAATATATATTCCCATCGTTGTAAAATGCCCTAGTTCTTAATACCATGTCTTGTATATTCTCACAATCTTGTTTCTGCATATTTTTTCATTATAAAAATATTATATATATATATATATATATATATATGGAGAGAGAGATTATACACTTACTTTTTTGCAATTTATTTATTTATAAACACACAACTTTTCATGTTCAAGTTTACTATTCAAGTGAAAACACAAAACTAGCATAATAACTTTTCATTTGTTCTTTAACAAAAAACCTTTTTCATTTGTTTTTATATGAATATCACTATTATTAATCTCAACATTTTTTAGAAGTTTTTATTCTGTTTACATAAAAATATAATTTTTAGATAATATAATATTAATTTTATTATATTCAAAATACTACATTTTATATAAAAAAAATTATAAATATGTTTTTTTTTGTCATATGGTGACTTTTATTTTTGCTTGTATCGTCAAAGGAATCATTGACAAGAGTTTTTCTATTGATTTGTACAAAAAGCAAATATTCAACAACCACACAATCAACGAAAATAAATATATATACGTGGCTTCCACTGTTGTATGTTATGGCCAAATTATTCATTTCATGATATTTAGATTTTTTTTTTCTTTTGACCCGACCAAACCCCAAGTGAAATTTTCTGTACAAATTAAAAAAAAAAAAAAAAACTTGTCCAACATAACCACAAATAACCAAGGGACTTGAGAAAAGTGATTAAGCGCATTATCAACAATAATGATACAATTATTATTTTTTCACGTTATTACGATAATAATTTACAACGACATTACAGATTCCATGATGACAGGCCTCCGTCGAAGCTAGGGTTCAAGAACGTGCCGCCATTAACGTGCCCGTAATCTTCCAGCTCCGAGTTCTGCATCCATGGCGGAGGATAAACCCAGAAATCCACCGAGTCAGAGAACACGAACTCGCCGCCGAGTTGTGCAGACCCATCATAACTGGGTCCAAGAATCGGCAGCTCCACAATTTCACCGAGTTCCTCCGACTCAGTTCGCGAAGACGACGAGGAAAGTTCCATCGCCGAAACAAGAGACTCCAACGAAGAAGACGACTGCGAAGACGAAAACGACGCCGTTCCGGACGATAACGAAGTCGGCGAAGTCGAAAACGACGTCGTCGTTTCCATGTGAGCGGCCTTTAGAGCCGCGGCTTGAACGTCGCGCGGGTTTAGCGAAACGGGCCGGGGAAACGTTCCCGCGAGGCCCGGAAAGTTTAGCACGGCGGAGGCTCCCTTTATGCTCATCGCCGCCGCGTCGTGCGCACGCGCCGCCATCTCCGGCGTCGGAAAAGTCCCGAGCCAGATTCTTGACTTCTTCCGCGGCTCGCGGATCTCGGAGACCCACTTACCCCATGTCCTCATTCGGACACCCCGGAAAACGGGGTGCTTGCTCGAGTCTCTGATTCGTTTCGCCTTCTCGCCCCCGTTTTTCTTGCCGCCGTGATTCGCTGAGCCCGGAGCCGAGACGAGGGCGAGTTGACGAGCCGAGCCCTCGAGCGTACGGTCGCCATTATCCGAACTCGGAGGAACTATCATTGACTCGAATTTAAAGACAGGCTTCTACTACCAAGAAAGACACGACACGAGATTGCAACCACCGTTTTGCAAACTCTGATTCGATCGAATCCACGTGGGATTTGAGGAGATGGTCAGGGCAGAGGTTTGGTTTTCGAGGTTTAAGTGACGAAGGAACGAACTTTTAGTGAGAGAGCTCTAAAAAGATCTCGAGAATTGGACAAATCTTGATTTCGGACCAAATGAGGAAAGAGAGAAACTTTGGTTCGATTTTCTTGGGAAAATGGATGATGAGAAGTGGAAATGTTAAGAAACTTAGGGTTTTTTGGATGCTTCTGATCTGTCCATCATTTCTCAATTACATCAAATATTTATAATATGTATCGATTGTGGGAGTGGGGGATGAGGGCGAGAGATATGGCATCAAACAAACATTGCCAAAAGACGAGTGAATGAGAAAGGGCCCAATGGCTAAAATATTAAAAAATAAAAAATAAAAGGCCCCACTAAAAAATTTGTATTTATTATAAACAACTCTAGAAGTTATTATATGTTTGGATTTTGGTGTTTTTTTAGAGAAAAAAGAAAGATTTTTTTTTTGTTTTTGTTAAAGATTGGGAATCTCTTTATTCGCATATATAAATCGTATTATATTAATAATGGGAACTCTTTATAGCTACCAAAAAGCGTCTAAACCATGGTCGATGTAAGCCTTCGAGTCATGGCGTAGATTCTAGAATTTATTTTCCACATTGAATAATCTCTGGTGTTAGATGTTGTGACAAATATCAGCTACATGATTCAAAAGTTGACAAAAGAATTTCATTGCATGAGATAAAATACATGCAAAATGATATAATTATAAAAATCCAACTACACACACACAAACAAAAAAGGATGGCAAAATGGTGCGTTTTTTATTTAAATTTTGTTGTAATGATTATTTACTTTTCTTGGAAAGGAAAACAAAAGAAGCAAAAAATAAAAGATATAATAGGATATGGTGTGACAAATTTCATTTTAATTAATTAGTGCGACAAGGTGTTTTTCACCTCCATTTCACTGTTTAATTATCCCTTATCCTGATATTCTCCTCGAATGCATCATCATGTTCGTCACAGCTTTATATATATATATATATATATATATACATGGTCGATGTAAGCCTTCGAGTCATGGCGTAGATTCTAGAATTTATTTTCCACATTGAATAATCTCTGGTGTTAGATGTTGTGACAAATATCAGCTACATGATTCAAAAGTTGACAAAAGAATTTCATTGCATGAGATAAAATACATGCAAAATGATATAATTATAAAAATCCAACTACACACACACAAACAAAAAAGGATGGCAAAATGGTGCGTTTTTTATTTAAATTTTGTTGTAATGATTATTTACTTTTCTTGGAAAGGAAAACAAAAGAAGCAAAAAATAAAAGATATAATAGGATATGGTGTGACAAATTTCATTTTAATTAATTAGTGCGACAAGGTGTTTTTCACCTCCATTTCACTGTTTAATTATCCCTTATCCTGATATTCTCCTCGAATGCATCATCATGTTCGTCACAGATATATATATATATATATATATATATATATATAGAGAGAGAGAGAGAGAGAGAGAGAGAGACTCACATATTTTCATATAGAGATGTATATATATATATGTACATATTCATGCATTTGACGCCCTTGTAAGATGGATCATATAAATTTTGATCCAGGTTTGGAGAAACCATGCATCTGCAAAATGCTACCAAAATTTTAAAAAAAAAAATTATTTCAGAGCTAAATAAATCGCGGATTCGATATTAAGTTATCGAGAAATATATTTCATGCAAATTTATTTTTTAATAAAAAATTAATGTATCGCAATTTTGGTGAATCTTGGTCCTGAAACTCATGAGTGAATGAACGAACGAATCTGCGAAATAAATAAATAATTTTTTTTACAAAAAAGGAAAATTGTAAAAAGAATTAATGGATATACGGTAGGCCATTTATTTAACCCATTGGATCGTATAGGGGGCTATGAGAGCACAACAAATAAGAGAACAGGTTTATGGGGGGGGGGAAAGGATTTACCATATCTTAGCTGCGGAAATTTCATCATATATATATATGTATATAATATGATAGTGGAAAATAAGAAAATAACTGAAGTTGCAACCATTACTACTGTGTGGTTGGATGATGATAAATAATATTCCTTTTTTGCATTTTACAATTAATTAATTATACGTCATCCGTCGTGAAGTACGTGATTAGACTCATTATCACCTATAGTTGTAATTCATACAGTAATCCTCAATTAATACTTTAATGGTTATTATATGTTGGTTTGCAGCTATATTCGGTTGTCTGTTTTGTACGAGCTGAAACCTTAAAAGATACAAATATATATATATATATATATATTATAGTAAGCAAAATAATCAATCATTGCGTTTGTATCTTAGATATATATTTGGAGAAGAAATGGAATGTATTTCAATTTATTATATTGTTTTGGTATATTAGTTCAATATTATACGTTCCCTCTTAATTAACAAGTTTGATTTAAATTAAAATTGAAGTGAAAAATATAAGCCAAATAAATTAATATAGATTTGAAACTCGTAAATCCACAGATTCATTAAGAAGTTGTATCACGTTCTTTGTATATATATATATGTGTGTCTGTGTGTGTGTGTGTGTGTGTGACGACTGTTATTTTTACCATGGAACCCTAATTTTCCATTTCATCCATATACGTATACAGGCACACAAGCATATACATTATATTTACAAGGCCGTATATATGCATGAAATGTTGAAAATATTTTTAAAAAATACAATATAAATATATTAACACGGAGAATATATATACACTTTTATTCACATAAGTAATAAGTTGACCGATAACCATCGAAAAATAGTGTAAGAATAGAACTATTGGGGTTTATAATGCGAGCCACCATATAAAATATCACGCACATATGCGTTATCACTGATATCAAATATGTAGTCTCAATTTTTTTGAAACGTTACATATATATATATATATATATATATATATATATATATCACATATAGAATCTATATATATTGGATATATAAATGTCAATAAATGAAGAAACCCCACCTGGGAAAAAGAGGAAACAACAAGAGTTCTTGAAAGGCGACAATATGGTACAGCGTATATATGCCTTTCAGAATGTGACATTTTTTTTTCCTCTTCGTCCCGACAATTTATGAAATTATCCATCGTTATTAATATTCAATGATCGGTCGTCGTCGAATTTGGTGTTTATATATAATAGCCACACGTCGGTAAATATGATATCTAATTCGAACAATATTTAAATGCAAAACCTACGTTTCAACAGATCGAATGGTCCTTTGTAATAGAATTGACAAGCAGTTGGTAAATGTAACGTCGTTTTATGATTCGGGATACACTTTCACGGTTAAATAATATGATTTTTTTTGTACGGAATAAATGTTTAGTTTTAAATATATAAATATTATATTATTATATATGTATATATAGCCGGTCCAAGACACCTCGAAGTGTAGGACAGGCGATATGATATATACAGTACGTGTTAATTAGCCTATACCGTGTGGCCACCCAAACGCGATCGTGGCTGTCGTTTTGGACCCACTCAAAAACATATAATATGAAATGAATTACCCACATATATAGTCAGGCTATGGGGCTGCCTATATAAATGCATACATACATATACATGTATATATATATACGTATATGTGTATGTTTGTATACGTGAAACTGTAGCAGTACAAGTCAATAATTTCCAAATGCATTGCTTGTCTCCAATTCATAACTTCGAATTTCTTTTAAGAAACTTTCGGTTTTTCAAATTTTCTTAAAATTCGATTTGGCTCGTTTTTAGAAAATTCGGTTTTCTAAAAAATATCGTTCGAAAATTATGCATTGTACGGTTTGGTGTGGTTCGGTTATAAGGAACCGTACCGAAACACGCCAATTCCTACTAAAAATATTATACTTGTATGCATTTTCGATTCTCGAAAAAATATTTAATCTGAAGTTTTAATGATTATATACAACATAGCATGTATGTGGAAATAAAATACAAAATAGCAAAGAAATGATGAGTACGATAATTCCATATAAGGTCACGCATAATTTCTCAAATTTGAATATAATAATGACGTAAATTAGATTGCCGACGTACGGCTTTAAAAATAAAAAAACCTTAAAATTTAAGGTCACATCATATATATATATATATATATATGTATATATGCATTTTTATATGTATGACTGGTGAAATAATGAAAAGTTGGGAAGCGTGGGGCAATGTAAGAGACAGACAAAAAGATACAAAGAAAAACATGTCCTCTGACTCCAATGTACATCAAACATCACCAGTCAAAAATCACCATCTCCATTTATTATTTGCCCTTTCACTTTTATTTATTTACTTTCATATAATATTTCACAATATATACATGAATTTGAAAATAATAAAAGTATTAAATATAGAGGCTGAGAGTGAGAGGGACTCTGAATCTTGCAGCTTGAGTTCTGCATCTTTGTTTGTCACATGCGTTTGCTCATACATGTAATCATAGAGTATGTCTGTGGTCGAGAAAACGGTTCTGTTAACCGGATGGTTTTCACAAACCGAACAGTTAACCGGATGGGTTTAGTTCGGTACATGTGTTTCCATATATAAGAAAAGGCTGTTCTTAAACCCGATTAAGAGCTCAAAGGAAAGGCTTTCTTGTGATAGTCCAGCCATGAAAAAAACCATTGTAAGAGATCCGAGATGTGATCTTTTGTCACTTTCAAAAGAAAAACAAGAACTAATCTTTCATCGTATATATAGGGCAACCCGGTGCACAAAGCGTCTCCGTTGAGCGGAAGTATGGGGAAGGATCCCACCACAAGGGTGTATTGTAAGCAAACTTTTACCTTGTAGAAATATCTGGAAGAGGCTGCTTCCAGGACTCGAACCCGTGACCTCAAGATCACAACGACAACACCTTAACCTTCTTTCATCGTATATGATTCGGATAAATCTCGAGAACGAAACGATCTCTCTAAGAGATTTTTCGGTTTTGTGTTTACATTTTCCTTCTTTTCGGACTTAGAATGGAGTCATCATCATCTGCCAATTGGCAACAAGTTTCCATTGGTAGTTGCTTCTGCTTTCTCGGCTTCTTCTCGTACGTTCTCTTCACCCTTTCGGTGGATAAGATCCATGTTCCACTAGCCTGTAAGTAGGATAGGAGATGAGGAACGGAAGTTCAAGATTAGTTATGTTATGTAGTTCTTTGGCAGTTTAAATAGATTTGGGACAGTAAACTTCGCATCAAACATGATAAAGACCATTTGTTTTGTCTAGATTTCGAACGGCTACTATGTGAAAACACACTCGGGTATATAAATGACCAACCCAATTTGAATCCCCACCTCATGATGGTGTAGAAGAAGGGAATATACTGAACATTATTATCCTTTATTTTTATACATAGGGACGGATTCGAATCAACGACTTCATACTCCATGGTAAGTGAGCTTACCGCTGAGCCAAACTAACCCTTCACACTCGGTTATATATGCAAGTAAATCATTCAGACTCAAGCTATAGAACGAAGATAAACGATGTTAGACAACGTCATTTCAGATATATAATAACATGGTAAAACTCCTGCGTAAAGAAAAACCATCCGAATTCTAGCTTACAACATCAGGAGGAGGATGCTTCCTGTTGGGTGGTCTCCCTTGATCAAGAAATGTACGAAAATTCCGGCAGGAATAAGCAGTGTGAGCTGACGATAACGAACTAGCTGGACCATTCTTTCCGGCAGAAAATGTAAACGAACTTACCAGAACGGCCATTTCGTTTCCCCGATATCAGTTTTGATAACGGCTGGTACATTATCCTCAAGGTCTTTCTCTCTCCAAAACCTAGAACAAAGGCAGACCTAGAAAAAAAAATTGGGAACTGATATTACGCATCCGTACAGTACGGACTCTAACCTGGCCATGGGGGCTGTTCAATTCGTACCCTTTTGCGCAGACGCAGAATCTGCTACGATTCATGAACCTAACGTACGATTTGTGATCGAACTGGTTCAGGATCTTCATGCCTGAGTCTGGTTTCGAATTTCGATCGAGAACAACTGGCCGAGGAGGATCTGTCGCTTTGATTGACGGTTTCCTCCGACGCCGCCATTAGTGTTTTCCGACGAGGATACCCTTTTTTTCCGGCCGAGGTTTCCGATGACGAAACCGGCGTTGCACTGCAGAGTTCCGAAATTTAAAAATGACCCCAAAATTAGCATTTTGTCATAATAAAACCCCATTACGTTTTTAAATTATCAGTATTACCCATTTTTAGTTTTGGTAATTTATAATTTCTTCTTTTTCTTCCACGATATTGGTCCAATTTGTAAAACCAAGACGTATCTATCACACTTGTAGAATTCTGCAATTCAACTCAGAATTTCATTGTGAAAGAAACTAATCTCATAAACTATCTCCTGGTTTCGGTAAACCGGGCTTCGGAACCACCGGTTTTCCTCCAACTGGCATTTGGTGCAAAACGAAGGTAATTTACATCGAAGGAAAGAATCTCAACCCACAACTTACGGTTAACTCAAACTGCTAAACCAATTAATTTCTAAACCGAAATTTGAAAAACTCGGTTAAACCAAACCGAATGAAGGATCATATGGAACATGTCATACTTCTCAGGTTTGGAGTGCCACAGAAAATGCTTCTGCACCTTCTTCACCCTCATCTGCATTTGCCTGTACCTCTTTTCGGGGATGGAAGTAAGTATCTTCTTCAGATTCGGAATATCTTTCTCGAGGACGAAAACCGCAAATGATTCCCAGTTCAGAACCTCGAAGAAAGGCGGTACGAAGTTATCGGATATGATCACGGGCACGCATTCATAGAAAATGGATTCTACTACCCTCGGGCTGTTCACTTCATACCCTTTTGCGCAAATGCAGTACTTGCTCGTCTTCATGAGCTGGATATAGTTCTTGTTTCCCTTAGACCGGGGAAGTTTCCCGAAGATTTTCATGTCCGGATCTTTGTTGTCTCCCCAATAGGACAGTAGTATCGGCCGTAGATACCCGTGGTCGGGTTTTCCGGCGAAGAAGGCGAGGGTGGGCCGTCGAGACGCGGGTTTCCCCCCGAGATCCTTGAGAGGCTTGCGGAGATCTCGCACGAACGTCTCGGGGAGAGAAGCGTCTTTTCCAAAGACGAAACCTTCTTTCACATCGGAGTTGCACATAGCCCTTATACAGTTCGCCATGTACTTCCTTGTTTCGGTCGGAGCCTGAAAGATGATGGATTCGTTTTTGTAAGAAAATCTCAAAATGTTATTGAAGATCATGTCTTTACCAGGAAATGTCGACAAAGATCACAGCTTTATCCAAAAATGTCAAGAAAGATTATATCTTTTTCAAGAAATGCCATGAAAGATCACATATCTTTATCAGGCAAAAACCGAGGCTGCGAACGAACGGAAAGAACGTACCCAGTCATGGCAAGCGACGAGGAAATGGTCGGAACCGGAAGTTCTATTCCAGAAAGGGTACTTTCCGGCGATAAAGTCGATATAATCTTTCAGAAACTGAACCAGATTCCGATGACTGTGCGAGTCTTTCACGTAAAGGGTCTCCTCCAGCATCCGGGAACTGAAGGGCAAGTAGAAAAGATGAGCTTTCCGGGCGTCTTTCGTCACAAAGTTCCTGTTCGACTCGAGAAGTTTCATAAACCATCCTTCGGATGCGTAAATTCCCCTTAGCACGGGCGTATGCATTATCGGTCTCTGTCCTTCCTTGTAAACATACACCTTCAACATCTTCTCCATCAGCTCGTAGCTCCTGAGAATTCGTAAGCGAATACATAATCGGAAAAATGCTATCAAAGATCAGTGCGAAGATTCCATTGGGAAAGCCGGAAAGAAAAGAAAAAACCTCACCGTTTGAACATGGAAACATTCCGGTAAAGAGGAGCATACAGAAGAGGGTCCTTTTCGTCAATCGGTGCGTTCTTGATCTCAATTTTCGAGCGTAAAAGCTCTCGGTCGGGTTCAGAAGGCCACTTCGGTCTCTACAAAACACTTCAAGACGTTATATTACGATTTCAGCAACTGAAAAATGCGGAAAAGGATTCATTTCTTCGCCTACTATTAGTTTAAGCAGGTTACCTTAGATGGATGGGAAGCTTGGTTTTTACGCAACCGTTCGCTCATTTCAGATATCGAGATGACTCCCGAAACTGGCAGTTCTGTGTTCTCCGTAAAGTCGGGAACAGATTTCACTGGAGAAGCATCGGTATAAGGTCTAGTCAAGTTCCTTTTATCGTTTCCATCCTCTCGAACGCTAGGGGCTGATGCATTTTCCCTCCCCTGAGATGGGTTTAAACCATTGATCACCTCGGGGGAACTCGTGCTAGCCGGCGCTGACGCGTTCTCCTTTCCCGGATATGGGTTTAAACCCGTAAATGCAGCAGGGGATTTTGAACTAGTAGGAGGCATAGCTCGGGAACTAGAGTTCGATTCCCCGTTTTTGTCTAGTATCTGATCAACCTCTTCTTCTTCGCCCAATTCATCATCCGTGGATCCGGATTCATTCCCCGAAGTATCATTCTTCTGTCGGAAACTTGGAGCCATAGCCAGAGTCGTGTTACCGATACCCGAGTCTCCCGTTTTCTCGGTCTCGTTATACCCATTATAGCTCTCGACGCCTCTAACCGGTCCAAGATTATCCCCGGAATGTCTGCCATTGCTGTTATCAGCAGATTTAGAGGAGGAAGGATCGGTTTGTGATGAAGCCGGGATCTTGCTGGAAGAGAACAGAGAGGATATACCATAGGGGAGCTCGAGGTACTGAAACGTGACGATCAAAGCGAATGTTAGTCCCATAAGCCATAGAAATCGTCGGGATTCGAAGTGGCATAACCACGGAAGTTCTCGGCCCATCCCCGAATCAATTTCCGGGTTTGATTCAGAGGGAAGATAACGTCTGATTCCTGCAACAAAGACATGAAGATTTTTAACTAAGTTTAGGAACAGAGCAGAGTAGGGAGGGCTTAACTGAGTTGGAGTTAAGTAAAGCTAAGACAAGCAAAAAACAAGTTTGATGATCGGTGATGACAAGAAATCAAAATCTGGAAAATCTGATTGAGAATGTAAGGAAGACAAATAGTGACGAGTGTCAGATTCCGGACAGTGATTAAGGATGAAATGATCAAACAACAGAATCGAGCTTAAATGCAAAAAAACCCAGAATTCGGAAACTGAAAAAGAAGAGTCGAGAATCAAAAATCCTGGAGGAATCAATCAGCTACCAAACAGAGAATCAACAAAAAAAAAAGGGAAATTAAAAGAAATTTACAGATTTTACCAGAACCATGTCAAAGAAGAAAACACTCGCAGGCGACCTTGTTTCCGGGAAAAAAAGTTTGCTTTTTTCTTCCTTTGCCATTTTCCCTGGAAACTGATCTCTCTCTCTCTCTCTCTAATCATCACATCAAATTCTCACCCGAATCAGCGTTTCGATTGCCATCTCTGTGGCAAAATATCATTGCATGCAATCTTTTCATGGGATCACAGAACAAAAAGGTACACCAGAATCATTTTCTTCCCTTGTAACGCATGATTAGCAAATAACTATGCACGCTAACAAACAACAGAGAGAGAGAGAGAGAGAGAGAGAGAGAGAGAGAGAGAGAGAGAGAGAGAGAGAGAGAGAGAGAT